TTTTTTTGCACTGGGGATCAAACTTGGGTCCTTGCACTTTCAAGGCAGGTGGTGGAATCACTGAGCTAAATCCCCAGCCCCTCCTTTCAGTTCTTGATATGTTCCCATGTTACCAGGTTCTGGCGTCCTGGGGACTCCTTCTAGAGATTCTTTCTAGGTTCTCCTTGTCCTGAACAAATAATTGGGCAAAACAAGTAAGGGTAGCAAGGTAGCAAGGATTTACATTTATTAAAGGTGGGAAAAGAAACATGCTCTGCAGGGTGAGTGCAGGCCAATTAAAAGTAGGAAAAGAAGTGCACTCTGTAGTGTGAAAGCAGATCAGGTGAAAGACAGAGCACAGTAGCCAAGAGCCCAATGACACTATCTTTTGTATCCTGTACTTCTCGGGATGACATCAGATCTAAAATGATCTGTCCTCTTGAATGCTCACAAGAATTGAAGACATCATTCTCTGATTGGTCCCAGGTGTGGGGCTTTGGGAACTGTTTTGCTGTGCATTTCCTGGGCCGTCATTATTAATAGGTCACCCCCATTTTCCCTAATCTCCTGCCTCACCCTGTTCCTTCCTGTAGATCTTGTTGAAGCTTGCATTCCCATATGCCTAAAGTACCCACTATGGCTGGTTAACTTCTCCAAAATACTCAGGGAGCAATCTAAACTGCAGATACAGGGTGTTAAAAGAAAAGTACAAGTGCAATTTAAAGATCTTAATTGGCCTTTACTTGTGATTCTAGAGTTGGAAAATAGACTGAGTGCTCTGATGAACTGAGCAGACACATTAGACTCAGAAAAGGAAGCCAGATGTGGTGGCACACGCCTATCATCCCAGCACTCAGGAGGCGGAGGCAGGAGGATCACTCTAAGTTCAAGGCCTGCATGGGCTACATAGTGAGTTCAAGGCCAACATGAACTATGTAACTAGACCCTGTTTCAAGAAAATAATCAGAAAATGGCAGAGGAGAGCAGAAAGAGAACCAAGGGGGATTGATTGTTTCAAAGTTACTTTCCTTGTAAAGATTAGAGCAGAAGGGATTTCTTATCATACTGACTAAAATGGGCCTGTTTGGAAATTTGACTCTTATCTCTCACTCTCCTGATTTCTTAGACAGTCAGATAAACAATTTAGTTTTGGCTTGCTGATATGGAACTTTAGCATGACTCCATTTTGTTTTGATCTGTTGGGCCCAAGTGCAGGGGCTGAATCTGGAGCCAGTGACCTCCTAAACATTTTATTTAACAAAAGTCTTTAAACATACTGCCCTGAGCTCCTCATTGTGACAACCTGTGCAACTTCACAAGTTTGTATCATTGTTCCAATGATGTATAGATTTCCTACAGACTCTACTGTAGCAGGTACCTTCTCCCCTCAGCACTGTGTGTGGAATATGATTGGTTCAGAGAAGATACTTCACAGTGTGAGATGGACGGATGAGGGGATATTGGAGATGCTGCTCGAAGCTGGGGAAGTTCTCTGACTTCCTCAGCAGGAAGAACAGAAATGGAAGATGGAGATGTTGCTTTTTAAGAGCAAAAAGGGGCTGAAGGTTGGAAAACAAGATGTTAGAATCACACTGGTGTTCACAAGCCATGACTGTGGGTTGTCACAAAGAAAAATATAAGCTTCAAAAATGGAAGAGAGAATAAAATAAGACAAAAGTGCTCACAAATAGCAGGATAGATTTTGTGGCCCTGCTCTCTGGGGATATTTGAGGAGATTGTGTAGTGCTGTGAATATATCAGACTTGCTGTTTGTGCCTGTGAAGGAAAAGTATCATGGTTGCACCAGCCCATGTCATGAATCCCAAACAAATAATATCAATAGAGGAGAAAAAAAATAAACATACTGATTCTGTAATTGTATCAAAAAAAAGATGAGAGCAATATTTCAGATTTGAATTCACAGTATTATTTCTGCTATTTTTTTGGCCAGTCACTCTCAAGGGAACAATGATATTTACCAGCAAATGAAACACCCAACTCAGGATACAGGTAGAATTAATATGTTTTATGGATTTGGATTTGAGTTCTGACCATCTCACGTTTGTTAGGTTGATACTTAAGGCCTGGAGGCCACCTAGAAGACAGGTGGTACTGAGAGAATTTCCCCAGGCCACTCTGTGAAAATAAAAGACAAGTTTACATCCAACATCATCCAGGAAATACTGCAGCCCAAAGGCTGCCATTGTCTGAGGGATTTCTCCACAAAGAATCCACAATGTATTGGCCAATGCAAGATGGCTCATTATATGAGCGATTGGTCTCAGTCCATGTTTCCTGGTAAGGGAATAAATGTAAGGGAAAAGGAAGGAAGAATTCCCCGCCATCCCAATTCCAATCTGAGTAAGGATGGCTATCCCCATCACCACATCCACTGAAACCATTTCCTCAGGGACTAGGGTGTGGTGCTTGTGGTGCTTTTGTTCATATCCAAGAACCTGTAGAAAAACAGAAGAAACATGAATTTCTTTTGCTTTAGGTTTTGTTTGTTTGTTTGACACAGGGTCTCACTTTGTTGTTCAGGCTGGTCTTGAACTCACTAGGTAGCCTAGGCTGGCCTGAAACTCACAGCGATGCTCCTGCCTCAGCCTCTCAAGTGCTGGATTACAGACATGTGCCACCACACCCAGTACATAAATTTCTTGAAGTCAGATGAAATATAGTTTCACTGTTATTTCTGAAAATCCTATTCTACTGTCACACCTAAAAGTCTCACTATTAGAGTTTTTTTTCTCCTCATTACCTAGCATATCACCCATGGTAGTTTTAACTAAAATTACTTCATTATCCTATTTCTGTTGGAGAAAATTAATTTCCTCTAGGAGAAATATCAGAACTGGCCACGCATGGTGGTACACACCTGTAATTCCAGCACTCTGGGATCACAATTTGAGCCAGACTTGGCAACATAGTGATTACTGAGACCCTGTCTTTAAATAAAAAGGGACTAAAGATGTAGCTCAGTGTGAAGATCCTAGGCTGATGTCCAATATCCTAGAAAAAGAGAGAGAGAAAAGAAAAATAAATATGAGAGCCACGAAGAAATGGATCTTGTATATCTTGCTTTCAGTCCATATCTAGAGTCAAGAACAATATATTGCTAGTAGTCAGTTAATAAATATATTATCTGGGGGGCCGGGGATTTAGCTCAGTGGTGCCACCGCCTGCCTCAAAAGCACAAGGTCCCAAGTTCGATCCCCAGTACCAAAAAAGAAAAAAAATAAATAAAATTAAATTAAAAAATAAATATATTATCTGAAGAAAAGAATGAAAAATGGAGTCACTGTTTCCATATCAAAATTATTTCAAGATGTCCTTTACCTCAATAAATTTCTTTTCACGGAATGTAGATTCTCTATTTGATTGTTAAAAATATCTAGTGCATGCAGCTTGTTGTTGTGGTTGTTGTTGTTGTTGTTGTTTTGGTACCGGGGATCAAACTTGCGCTTGCACAGCAGGTGGCGAAACCACTGATCTAAATCCCTGGCCCAAGTGCATAAAGCTTAATGACTGTGTTATTCAAAACTGTATGTCCTTGCTTGATCTGGGGGTTTTGCTTTTGTATAAAATCTTGGCTTTCTGGGGAAAAAGATATTCAGTGTTTTGTGCTGTACTTGGATTCTATCAAACACTCTGTCAAACATTATCTTTTATAACCTAATACAACCTTTGAATCAGGGACTTAAACCAAAGCAAGCGATATGTTTTAATAACACAACACCAAGAAAGATATATTGGCCGGGGATTTAGCTCAGTGGTGCCACCACCTGCCTCGCAAGCACAAGGTCCTGAGTTTGATGCCCGGTACCAAAAAAAAAAAAAAGAAAGAAAGACAGATATATTCTAGGAATGCTCATGATTAACATGAGAATGAGAATTAGAAGCCATCTGATTTCTTCAGCAAATAAAAGATGAAGATGTCAGGCAGCACAATTATTCAGTATTTTTCTGACTTGATCAATAAAATGCCAGGAAAGAACTATCCCTCTTTGAGTGTAGAGGATTCTTCTAGATTGCATTCAAAAAGTATCAAAATATCATAGAAGTAAAAAGATAGTAATTTTCCCAAATATAACACAACTATGTAAAGTAGAATATGTTGCATATAAACACTTTGAAAAGTCTTAGGAATAAACCAGATCAGTTATGTGCTAGAAATATAAAAGTAAAACATTAAATACTAGAAAAGATATCTTGAATAGCTGGAATGGAACATCACATTCTCAGATGGGGAGATATAGTATGCGCTCAAGATTTGAAACTTCCTCAAATTCATTTGTAGGTTCAATTCAACATCAATCAAAACCATAAGAAAATTTGTTGGGAAACAGACAGCTTGTATCAAATTTTGCATATATTGAAAAAAAATCCACATCGTTTTCCCACTTTGTCAAAATTTTCAAGCATACAGAAACCAAGCCATTTTTTTATTTTCATAAAAATTTTCTTTATTCTCAGTGGCCAATGAGATATCCCAACCAACTTGTATTTTTTAAAACAATGATGATGGGCTGGGGATTTAGCTCAGCGGTGCCGACGCCTGCCTCACAACCACAAGGTCTTGCATTTAATCCTGAGTACAAAAAAAAGCCAATGATAATGAGTTGGATAAACCCAATTTCCCAAAAGAATACAACAATTAAAATAAGTGATACAGATAAAGAATAGTCAAATATAACCATGGTTCAGAAAAATTATACATAGGAAATTCAACAAATGAAAATATAACTTCAATATGAAGGACCAGAAAAACTGGTGAATGATTTGGGGAGTCTAAAGTTGGACTGCCAGAGCAAATTTACAGACACATTTCAGAGCAGAGAAGAAGATAGAGACACACACAGACAGACAGACAGACAGACAGAGAGACAGAACAGGAACCAGATAAAACAGAAACAGCAGTCACTACACAGTCAGCCAGGAGAGGTGCATGGCTAATAAGCCCTGTATGTGCTTGAGCAAAATGTATGGAGCAAAATATATGTAATGCATGTACCCTGAGGTTCAGTTATTAACTCACTAAATCCTTGTCAGCATTGACCCTGTGCTGGCCACTGCCCTGATCTCTTGTATTTATTTTCTGAGATTTCATGGCCCTCTGCTCTGGAATTCAGTGTTCCAGTTCAGGTTCACATCAGGCTGGTATCTCATCTCAGAGTTCACCTCTCTGACCCACAGATGCTACTGCAAGGATGGGCTGAGCTGTGAGCATATCCACCAGTAAACATGCCTTCTCCTGTCATTAGGTCTGCTGTGCATTCCAAGGGGCATTACTTTGATTAGAAGATCAGACTCTATCTTGCTGTCATTAAAGGCAGTTGTTCCTAAAATCTCAGTCACTTAAATACACCCACAAAACAAGAATATATAGTCTCCATATCCCCTGGACTTTAATTTGCTCAATTATACCTCAGTGTTGTAGCAGCACTGTGTACCTAACACAGTGCTTTGATCTTATCTTACCCTTTGTACTGACTTGAAGGAGATCTAAGAGTCCTTTCTCCTTTTGAGTTTGAATAACAGCCTTAATGTGGTCTTTCTTGCTTTATGTCCTTTTTCCTAATGTAAAAGTGTTTTAATGCTTCTTGTTTGTATTAGGTAGCATGGGGATAAAATTTTAACTGGTTATTCTTGAATTGCTTTTACAATAAATCAATTTTATAATCTTTAAAAAAAAAAAGATCAGGGCCGGGGATTTAGCTCAGTGGTTCCGCCACTTGCCTTGCAAGTGCAAGGACCTGAGTTCAATCCCCGGTACAAAAAAAAAAATGATCAGACTCTACAATAACATGCCATTTCCTGGTGCACGGACTCCAATGAAATTTCAAACGAAGACTGGTGTGCTGGGGTAGTGCACACACAGTTCTTGGTATAAATGATTTACGAAGTTCAGTGTCACTCAGACAAGGTCCAGTGGAATAAAAAGACATTAATATTTACTTAAGATATTCTGTCCACCTAGTCTATAATTATCCCTATTAATATTCTCTTTTATCCCTATTTTTGAATTAACTTTGACCCATCCTGAAGGAAGCTCAGATTAAGAACAAATCAAAGAATAAAGATGAAAATTCGGATAAAACTAATGCAGGGAAAGAGCTGAGGAGAGCCCTGCAGGTGAGATGTTAAAAAAGGACTCTTCTGGGCTGGGGATTTAGCTCAGTGGTGCCCCCGCCTGCCCCGCAAGCACAATGACCCAAGTTTGATCCCCAGTACCAAAAAAAAAAAGAAGAAGAAGGGACTCTTCTATAAGCAGAGAACAACTCTTCACACCCAAGAAAAGCCCTTATGGTGACTCTTACATGTTCTTGTGAAAAAGCAAGTGGTTCAGACACTGTGTGGATCAGGCATGTCCAACCCATGAGCCGCCACCACATGTGGCCCTGGACAGCTGATAATGTGATCCCACAAGACCACAAATTGTTAACATTATTTTATGGTTTTTGGTGATGTTTTTTCATAACTCAATCGCGGTGCTCCAGCTGTGTAGGAAAGGGCATGGGGTACTGCTAACCCCACCTTCTGTGTCTGCCACACACAGCTTATGTTGCCCTCTCTTTTTTGTTATAATAAAAGTATTAAAAAAGAGAAAGTTTTACTATTTATACATTTTACACTGTATATTTGATATGAAGACCAAGACAATTCTTCCTCCCTCAGTGTGGCCCAGAAAGGACAAAAGGTTGGATCACCCGTGCCATAGATTTCCATCTCTGAATACTCACTCTTCTCTTTCCCAAACAATTTCTAAGTCTGAAATACATCTTCACTCACCTCTGTCCCTGGAACTTGTACCTGATGTTTACCAGGCTTATCATGGAAGAGAAAAGTGGACCCTCAGTGATAGGTTTTGTTTCCTTGACTTCATCTCTTTCTAGAGCGGTGATTATTACGTTATTTCTACCATCAAAGACAGCACCTGCCAGGAAAGTCTTGGGATATTTTTTCTCAGCACATTAATTATCCAAATTAATTGAGTGTTTACAGAGAATGTCCCAGGATGCTGCCAGAGGTAGATGAAGAAAGGTTTTTCTGCTCTCCCTACAGGATTGAGGTCTAATAATGATGAGGCCCAAAAACCTAAAGAGTTGAGGAGAAACAAACATAAGCTTCCCTGTATTCCAAACAGCTCGAGGGCTACATTTCCTAGAGAATTTTGGATCTCCAAAAACATGATAAATTCCACCTACTAACCACTTGGTAGAAAAAAGAGGTCTTCTAAAGACAAAGTGTGAGGAATATATAAATAAGGTAGCAGTGGTGCATATCTGTATTCCCAGGACTCTGGGGACCTGAGTAAGAGGATTGAAAATTCAGGTCTATCCTGGAAAACTGAGCAACTTAGTGAGACCCTGTCTCAAAATGAAAATAAAAGGGGGCAGGGCTGAGGATGCAACTCTGTGCAAAGGCCCTGGATTCAATCTCCAGCACCAAAAAAATAAAAAAAATTAAAGTGAGCTAGGCATGTTTCACACACCTGTAATCCCAGCACTGGTGGCTGAGGCAGGATGATTGCTGTGAGTTCAAGGCCAGCCTGGGCTACATACATAGTAAGTTCAAGCCTGAACTACATAGTGAAACCTTGTCTCAAAAAAAACAAAACAAAGGGCTGGGGATTTAGCTCAGTGGTTTTGCCACCTGCCTCACAAGCACAAGGTCCCAAGTTCGATCCCTGGTACCAAAAGAAAAAAAAAAAAGAAACCAGGGAGACCAAAAAGGCAGGCAGATAACATATTTAAAGCTACCCCCCAAAACAATTCAATCCAGAATTCTGTCTCCAGCAAAACTATCCTGTAAGAATGAAGGTTAAATTAAGATATTTCCACAAACACAAAAGCAAAGAGTGTTCACTACCAGGAGACTGCCTTGTAGGAAATGCTAAATAAAGGGAGTCCTTCAGGTTGAGATGAAAGGATACTAGATAGGAACTTCAAGCTTCGAGAAGAAATAAAGAACATGGTGAAGGTAAACACACAATCCAGTATTACTGCACC